TAAGAAACCCAAAATACACCAGAACGATAAAAAATAAAAATGAAAAGTAGTCCCCAGACTACTTTTGGACTATTTTTGGATTAGTTGGAAAGTATGTTTGATTTTTCGTCGAAAATCCCCCTGTAGGGGGACAGGCCCGACTTAAGTCTAGGCTGCTGAGCCCCTCTCTCCCTTCGTTCTTGTTGCCTTCCATGTGTCGGGCGGACAGGTGGCGAAAGGGGCCTCATTAGGAGCGGCACTGTCCCGCCCCAGAATTGAGCGTCGTAAGGAAATAATCGAGCAGAGTGGTTTTGGTAATTCTCAGCCTCTGCGGGGGCCCGTACTGGGCCCTGCGGGACCGCCAAGAAACGACTCGGGATGACTCTTCCTCCTCCCCTTTCTTTCTGCCACCCTCCTCCTACTCCTCCGGGACAGGCTCAGGGGGGAAACGTCGACTCAACATCGGCGATACATCGCCAGCAAATCGGCGATAGGCCCCCGATAGCGAAACCGGACGTTCGGGACGATCTGGGACTCTCGGCTACAAGCGCAGCTGCTGGCAGATCAAACCTCGAAGCGTAAACACAGCGCTGGGAACCGGCGAAGACGCCGGCAGAACACATACGAAACTGCCTTCTCGTTAGCCCTGATCCCCCTCCTTCTCCTTCAACCTCCTTCAAGCTGCGGGAACGTCTGCCGTCATTGGAAACGCGACGCTCAGGGATTCAAAACCCAATTCAATTAGATGCTGATTGAGAGGCGGAACCTCCGACCCGCCACTCGGTTGGTGGATGGATCCTTTCCCACAGTGGAGCAGCTGAAGGGTCTTGTTGGCGTCCTCACGAGGAGCGCCGCGGCACGGCTCTCTCCCCACAGACGAGGCCAGGAGGGGCCGAAGGTCTCCTCCTGCTCCTGCCGACCGCATTCGCAGTGGCCGTGTCGGCGCCGAGTCGTCAAGTCACCCGGCTTTTTGACGGCTCTGGACTCCTGGATCCAGGGAATGGCATCTCAGTTGAATGCCGTCGCCCCTCAGTTTGTGCAGAGTGCTGCAGAGGCCCGGCTCGATTCCTGGTCGGATGGGGCTGTGTGAACGCTGCCAGCATGCCATGTCCTGCTTTAGCGCATGCACGCGTACGCGGCCCTATCACGTGGACGCACTTCCAAACGGATCCCGGCCGGGACATGAAACATCCACAGGGCAGTCCACAACACCATGCGGAGTGTCGCGAGAAGTTGTGGCATAACGGGTGTTGGGGGGTCTTGGCGGAATGTGGTCATCCTGCTTGGCCCCCTCTGGATGTGCGATTCTTTCAATCGCGGCGTGTCCCTACTCCCGCTGACCAGCGGCGCATGGCTTCGAAACGCAAGAAACGCACATCTGTCGATGTAGACCACAAGCACCCGCGGCATTACGGGTTTCTTTCCGACGAGGGGCACCAATGCTTGAACACGCTTTGCAGGGGTATGGTGATCTTTGGGTTCCCCCCAAAGTGGTTTTCATCATGACTGTGAACATGCTTCCCAAACCTGAAGGCGGCGACTGCCACGTGGATACGGCGTTTCTTACACGGTGTTTCAACATAGAGAAAATTGTGGTCTGAGTGGACTTGGAGGCCTCACGTTTACGGCGCTACGGGCGTCTAAAGTTTGCACTGTGTCTGGAACATTCTCTTCCAGTGGAATGCGCTGCTTCGAAGGGACTGCGCTGCTTCGAAGGGACTCGAGGCATACGCAATATTACTTGATAGGCGCCAGAGGACGTTATCCACCGCATCTTAGTCCGACGAGCTCTGCATCTTGAGCTCAGTGTTTGGCTGCCGAGGTTTCTGCTGGGATTATGTGGGGGCCCGCGTGTCATAGCTGTGGGGGGATCTGCTACAGGAGGACGCGTAAATGCTACTCAAACTGTTGTGGTGGGCTGTGCACTCGCAGGTCTCCTGATGCGGTGCATGCTCATCGAGGACTTGGATCATGCTGCTGAGCTTCATCGATACTTGCATGTGGGTGTAGTAGCTGATGGCGTCCAAAAGATCTGGGGGTAGGGGCACAAGCGTATTGAAGGGAAACTGGCCCCCTCGTGGCGAACGCGTTGCTTGGCCGGCTTCGTGGCCACGCCCACCTCACGCTTTCAATCCCGAAGCTTCTTTACATGTCCCCTGATGATGGTGTGGGGGATGCTCTTGCTGCAGTCCCCCAGCTTGCATGGCCTCGCCAGCAGGAAACTCGAGATCGTGCGGTTGACTTCAGTGTGAGAGCGTTCCGCGGTCTCAACAGAAACGTCATCAAACCTAGGTTTAAGAAGGTCCGTGCCCGAGCAGTCACCATTTAGCCAGAGGGAGAAAGGGGGTCAATATTGGCTGAACCCTGCTGCTCCACATGGAACTCCCATCACTGGCCTCAACGACACTCAATTCTGCGACGTCAGGGCAATGTGCCACACCGCCTTAGGTTCAAGAACCTGCAAATCAGCTACTACGGTCATGGCCCTCACATACACGGTGCGGGATCCAGCTGTCACCGTGCACTAGAGCACCGTCCTCATGTGGTTGTCTTGCCCTTGGGATTCGATCGTGCCTCATGCCATTAGGGACCATACAATGCAGCGCGATTTTGATACAGTTTCGTGTGCTACTGCATGGAGTACTTTAGCTGGACCTGCGGCGGTGGTGGTTGCATCATTGCTCAGAGTCGGCTGGTCCTGCGCGTCCCTGACAGAATGGGTTACCCCCATTTATGACCGCCTTATGGTCACGGATTTCGCTCCCCGTGATATTGCGCAGTAGTCTCGCATTCTGCGTTGCGCTGGTCGTGGTCGCAGGTCTCTTTGCGACACGTGCACATGTCTAATCTTGACCTCCCTCTCCTCCTCAGCCCCACAGCTCGTCTTCTGGACGAGGACGGCGTTGAAGGTTCCGGCACGCATCAGAAGGTAGCTCTGTGCCTTGCTTCCGAAAGTTTTGTTTCACCAAAGACCATGCTCCCTGTGCTCTGCATCTACCCCCTCCTTCTGGCAACATTTATGTTGGAGTGCGATGTTCCATTGACCTTCCGTGCAGGATTCCCACATCACGTTGTCTTTGGATTAGCGGGCTTATTCGTGATCCTGTTTACCTCCTTTCCCCTCCCCTCCATGAGCTCGTCCGCGACTGGGTCATGTTAGGCTCCCCGGAGCGGGCATTCACCTTCTCAGCTGTCGGGGACGGATCTGGATTCAATGCTGATTGCCGTTTGACTGCCAGGTGTGGCTGGGTAGTCGTATGCGTTGGTACCCGGAACGGCGTACAAGTTTGAGCGTGTGGCTCCCACCCTCTTCCCGTACAGTCAGTGCCCGCAGCTGAGCTGCACGCATTCTTACTTTGTCGGTCGAATTGCTGTCGTGACCCTCGGGACTAGTGGAAGTCTACGAAGACTGCAAATGGGCAGGTGGCTCATGGCTCATGCCCAAAAGCCAAGCGTGTGTAGGACATGCTGTTCACTGCGACTCGTGCGGAACCACATTCGCGTGGTCAGGGCGTCCGCTCCTCAGTCTCTCGATCGCCTGGTCGGTCACGGTCTGTCTCTGGCCAGCGGCAACACCCACGCCGACACACTCGCGCGCGGGGATGCACCCTCGAAACTCGCACGCCGAGACGCGGGTACCGCAGGCCAAGCTGCTGATTCAAAGCCCAGCTGTATACCTTGATAGGGCTGGTCAACAGAAAAACGCCCATAACCCTTTGGGAGGGGACAAAAGTTAGGAAGGCCAGAAACATTATGGATAGGTTGTGTTCTGTTCCTGCCGATGCACCAGACCAAACCGCCCAGAATGATTATCCCTGATGCGAAGACGGGGACCTCAGTGAGGCCAAGTCTTCACCGTGTCATTCGGGTCAGGCGTTCTGTTGTGCTCGATGAAGGGTGATCACGACTTGCTTGCCTGAGCTCACGCTGCCTGGGGCCCCGACGTGTCCGAGATCCCTGGTTTGCTCATCCAGAGTATCCTCGTTGGCCCAGCTGAGTGCACTCCTCAATTTACAGTGCACGACCCTGCCACACAGAAATGTGGGTGCACGTGTACTTGAATTCCCAGTAAGCACCGATGGGAGTTGGCACAGCAACCATGCCACATACCATTCGGCACAGGCCATGTTGCGCGACGAGTTAAAACATCTTCATTGTGTCAATACTGTAGAGACCACTCGTCGACCAACGAATCCCACCTCCACAGGACTTGCCTCGACACTCCTTCATCTGGAATTCAAAGATCTCGCCTCCAGAAACTGATGGACGGGCGACACCGTAGGATCCATAATTGGTGGCCTCCATCTTGTGGGAGCTGCCTTCAAAGGTATATTTGCGCGAGTTCCTCACCCAGATCCCTGATGCCCTTTTGTTTCTCTTGCCATGTTGTCGTGGGACGCGCAGGTCTCGTGGCGCGCCATACAATAATCCCATTATCGTCGTCGTCCTCCTCCTCCTCCTCCTCCGCCTCCTCCTCCTCCTCCTTCTCCTCCTCCTCCTCCTCCTCCTCCTCCTCCCTCCTTCTCCTCCTCCCTCGTCCTCCTGCTCCCTCCTTCTCCTCCTCCTCCTCCTCCTCCGCCTCCTCCTCTTCCTACTCCTCCTCCTCCTCCTCCTCCTCCTCCTCCTCCTCCTCCTCCTCCTCCTCCCTCCTTATCCTCCTTCTCCTCCCTCCCTCTCCCCCTCCCTCCTCCTGCTCCTCCTCCACCCTCCTCCTTCCTCTCCCTCCTCGTCCTCCCTCCTGCTCCCTCCTGCTCCTCCGCTCCTCCTCCTCCTCCTCCTCCTCCTCCTCCTCCTCCTCCTCCCCGTCCCTCCTCCTGCTCCTCATCCCCCTCCTCCTTCCTCTCCCCCCTCGTCCTCCCTCCTGCTCCCTCCTGCTCCCCCCGCCTCCTCCTCCTCCTCCTCCTCCTCCTCCTGCCCTCCCCCTCCCTCCCTCCTCCTCCCCCTCCTCCCTTCCTCTTCCTCCTCCACCTCCTCCCTCCTGCTCCCCTCCCCTCCTCCTCCGCCTCCCCCCCCTCGAGGTCCTCCACGGGCACGCCGCCCCCGCGCGGGCTGCCCACGGACTCCGCGGCCGCGCCGCTGAGCCTCGGAAGGGGGGGGAGGCGGGCGGGCGCCCGGCTGCCCTGCCGGGCGGGGTGCCGCGGGCTTCGGGGTGCCGCGCGGGCCCCCGCTGGGACGGCGCCGCGCAGTGGAACCGCCATCCCTCCCCTCCCCTCCCCTCCCCTCCTCCTCCTCCTCCCCCTCCCCTCCTCGTCCTCCTCGTCCCTCCTTCCCATCCCTCCTCCTCTCCTCCTCCTCCTCTCCTCCTCCTCCTCATCCTCCTCCTCCTCCTCCTCCTCCTCCCTCCCTCCTCCTCCCTCCTCCTCCTCCTCCTCCTCCTCCTCCTCCTCTTCCTCCTCCCTCATCCTCCTCCTCCTCCTCCAACTTCTCTTCCTGCTACTCCTCCACATCCTCCTCCTCTTCTCCTCCTCCTCATCTCCTCCTGCTCCTCCTTCTACATTATACTCCTCGTCCTCTCCTCTCCTGCTCCTCCTCCTCTTCCTCCTCCTCCTCCTCCTCCTCCTCCTCCTCATCCTCCGCTCCATCCCCCTCCCGCTTCTCCTCCCCCCCCACCCCCTCCTGCTCCCCCCGCTCCTCCTCCTGCTCCTCCTCCTCCTGCTCCTCCTCCTCGGCCTCCTCCACCCTCCCTCGTCCATCCTCCTGATAAATAAGCCATCCCTGGGGCGACGTGCTGGTAGAGTGGGCACCGCGTTCCGCCTGAGATGTCCGAACCGTTCCACGGATGGAGGGCGGGTCGTCTCCAAAATGTGGCCGTCGCCTGCGCGAGACGCTTTTTTTCTCGTCGCGGCCGCCAGCGAAAGCGCAGGAGGCGTACGAAAGGTCGGGCGTGCCTGCGCGAAACGCGCCGCCATACTGAACTTTGCAGCTGCTTCACTGCTGGAGGAGAGGCGGCTCTCAGATGCAGGTCTCGCCCTGGCGCCCCGCACGCTCCCCTTTTATACGTCTGCAGCAGCTTCAAGAGTGGAGGACGGGGCCTCTTCGACATGTGCCTCTCGCTCCAGCGCCGCGCGCACTGGCCTTGAAAGCTTGCAGCAGCTTCGCGGACTCGCACGGCTGAAGTCCCAGGCATGCAGGCACGTTCGGCCGCGGTGCCGAAGTCCAATGGGTTGCGTCCTGGCACGATCTAGGACTATCGGGAAGCAGCGGCCATATCGCTTTTCGCCGCCGAGGTCCCAGGAATGGCGGTCTTGAACGATCGAGGTTCTCAAACGGTTGTGTTGTCCAACGGGGCACTTCCCGCATTTGAAAGCACTTTTTGCAGGAGCCGGCGAGGAGGGAACTTGGAGGGAGGGTTTATTGCAAAATCGTTGATGCGTCTTGGGTTTACACTAGTCCTCCTTCTCTTCCTCCTCATCCTCCTCTCTGACATCCTCCGTGTTTTCCCTCGCCCCATCGCTCATCCCTCCCTCCCTCCCTCCATCCGTCCTCCCTCCCTCCATCTCACATCGTGAACTTGGGGGGGGCCAACGAACCCGGTAAGGAAATGTAGTACAACAAATTGCTGTTTAACTTCTCACGTGACGCCTCCATGTGTGAGGATGTATCAGACGAGAGCCCAGCTCTTAAAGGTACGTCGAAGTCGGGAGCTCCCTGCAAATCTGATGTTTTGCCTGAGGATGTCTGCAGCGACACGCCCTGCCACACCAAGTTTGACATCCGACGCCCGATCTCAATTTCTCAGTTTTCTGCGGACCACTCGTGCGAAAGACCCAGTGTTTGAAGATCATTGTCGCAAAACTACTCCTCCAACGTTCCCATGTCGTGAGGATGTCTGTAGCGACCCCCCTTCCCACATACACACAATATTGAATATCAGAATTTCCGTTGCCCGATCTCCCACATGTCATGATTCTGAACATGTCGAAGCTGAAAGCCTCGCTTTGATAACCAACGTCGACGCACAAGTTATCCAACGATCCCATCGTGTGAGGATTTAGCAGGCGACACCCGATCCGCTCATCTCACTGTTCGACATCCAACGCCCGATCTCCATCATCGCAGTGTTACGAGGATACCCGAGGTGAAACCTCCAGCGTTGCAAAACAAATCCTCCAGCATCCCACGTCTCAAGCGAAACGCTCCCCCCCCCACACCATGACGGATATCCGACGCCCCCGTGGACACGTGAAGACACGTGCCCCGCGGGCACGCCCCCCTTCGCGCACGCATCTTATGCGCAATTGAACACACCGACGCGAGCAAGTTGGACATCCGACCCCTCTGTGGACACGTGAAAACACTTGTCCCGCGCGCACGCCCCCCTCCGCGCACGCATGTCTATGCGTAGAGACTCCGACGCGGGTCAATTGAATCCCCCCCTTCGGGGGCCCTCTCGTCGCCAGGGGCACCCGACAACAGGTGCCAAGCGCATACGTGACGAGACGCATGTCGGAGCCCCCCCCCTTCCGCACACGTACGGCAGGTCCGTGTCGTGCCGACTTCGGCGTTGGTTTCTGACACCGCGGGGATCGTTCAACCTTGAACGATCGGCCGTCTCCGCAACGTCCAAATGTTCAACATCGAACGATTCTGGGCCGCCGGCGGCGTTCAACCTTGAACGCCGCTGGCGGGGTAGCCGCCGGTCGACACGACGCGAACCTACCGTACGTGACGAGACGCACGTCGGAGCCCCCCCGCCCCCTTCCGCACACGTATTCCAGGCGCCCAGTTCCGCCGCCACCTGCTCGACACGCAGTGCAGGGCCAAAAACCCAGCACGCTGAAAGCTAGGGCTCCCAACTTCGCGCTTCGCGCTGCGCGAAGCGCGAATAACTTCGCGCCCTCGCGCCGCCCTCCCAAAGGGAGAAAAGGAGGACGAGGAGGAGGGGGAGAAGGAACGAGGACCGCGAAGCGCGAAGCGCGAATAACTTCGCGCCCTCGAGGGAGCCCTTGGAAAGAGAACCCTGGGCCAGAGCCCTTGCCGTCAACAGACACACTTTTTTTTGATTCGCGGGTCGAGAGCGAGCCTCTTCCGGTCGAAGCTAAGCGGGCCGCGCACAGCTTTACTTTTACAGAGGAAGGGAAAAAGAAGGCGCCGTTAACAAAAACACGGTGGACTAATTTTCCGAATCGTCGCCTTCCCGGGGCCCTTCCCTGGCCACTCCAGGATCATCCAAGTACGACTCGCGATGAAAACACCGGTCCCCGGGAAGGGGCCCATACCTCAGGCGAGCCATCTTGCGAACAAAGATGCGACTGGAGATGGAAAGCTGGTCCCCGGGCAGGGGTCCATGACTCAGGCGGGCCATCTTGCGAACGACCTTCGGACACCCCCCTCCGCCACAGCCCCCCCTGATCCCTTCGGGTTCCCCCTCCGCCCGCGTCTTTTCTTGGACGGCGTGGGACCCACTCCCGGGGATCCGCTTTCCATCCCGAGCTAGCATCCAGCGGCCGCGGGGCCCGGTGAGGGGCCCACAGGGGCCGAGAAGGATCAATACGCGAGGAACTCTTGTCTTGGAGCCACAACTCGAGCCTGCGGCAGCCGATCGAGACGGTCCAAGCACCGGCGGAACGCTTTCGGCGAGCTGCAGCTGCTGGAAAGTATCCCGAGGCGTGAGCACTTCCAAGAGCCGACGAGAACGTACGACCCTGCCCCCCCATCCACTCCGAAAACATGCTTTCACGACGCGAGGACGTCTGGGCTCCATCTGCCCCTCCCTCCTTCCCTGTCTCCCAAACTCACCCCTCCCCCTCCATCCGCCAAGATCCTTCTCAGCCACTCCTCACTCCTCCTCCCCCAGTCGCCTGGTGCTAATTCTGCTCCTCCTCTTCTTCCTCCCCTCTCCTACTCTCCCCATCCTCTCTCCATCCTCCTCCCTCCTCCATTCCTTTTCCTTATAAGCAACTCCTGACTGTCGCACCCCGAGGCTGGTGGACAGGGCTGACTGGGCGTTTTGCATGGACGTCCCCATCCTTACCAAGCTTACAAGTTGCAGCAGTTTCACGAACGGAGTTCCAACATGTGGCCCTCGCCTTAGCGCCGCGCACATCCATCTTAAAATTTGCAAGAGCTTCCCGGATAGATGACAGGTGGTCTTCAAAATGTAGATCTCGCCATAGCGCCGCGCGAATCCTTTCTAAAACATTGCAGATCTTCACGGATGGAGGACAAGTGGTTTTCAAAGTGTGGCTCTCGCCTTAGCCCCGCGGGCCGCGCACATTCGTATTATAAACAGCAGGGGCTTCACGGATGGAGGGTGTTCCTTTTCAAAATGTGGCTCTCGCCGTAGCGACGCGCAAATACGTTGTAGCATTTCACAATACATGCAATGAGTCTCCAAGTTAATGTCCCACAGGTGGTGTTTTGGCACGATGCCGGACTGTCAGGGCGCAACAATTATGGCGATTCGCCGTGTTGAAATTCAAGGGATGGTGTCTTGGCACGACTCAGGATCGTCCAGTCGCAAAAGAAAAGGTGATTCGCGGCGTGGGACTTCTAGGAATGGTGTTCTGGCACAGTTGTGGATTTTCAAACGGTTATATGAAAATGTGTCCTTGCAGGGGCCCATGAAAAAAACGAACTTGGAGGGAGGATCGATTGCAACATCGTTGATGAGTCTAGGGTTTGCACTGGTCCTCCTGCTCCTCCTGCTCCTCCTCCTCCGCCTCCTCCTCGTCACCATCACCATCACCACCACCACCACCATCATCATCATCATCATCATCATCATCATCAGCATCATCATCATCACCATCCTCCTTTCAAGAAGCGATGAAAACAGCTGAAGACCCCGGACACCATCACCATCACCATCACCATCACCATCACCATCACCATCACCATCATCATCATCATCATCATCATCATCCTCATCATCATCCTCATCCTCATCCTCATCCTCATCCTCATCCTCATCCTCATCCTCATCCTCATCCTCATCCTTCCAAGAAGCGACGAAAGCAGCTGGAGACCCCGGACACATTCTTCCCGCGCGAGGATGCCTGCAGCTGGAAGGGAGACCCATGGGGACGCACAGAGACATACTAATACTAGATGTCCGCCTTGGAGGCGCGCGTCCGACCCGAACATATAGTATACCCATCTTGTAGTATATCGTTTCCCGAGCGGTGTGGCCAGAAAGCGCCCGCCACGACGCATATACTATAAGATTTCTCGGTGCGCGCGTCGCCCCTGGGGGGGCGACGCACATATAGTATAAGTATGTTGGGGTGCTGCCGACCCATGGGGAGGAGCAGGAGCGGCAGCGTGGGGCGCGAGGCTCGGACTGTTTTTGCCTCGGCGGGGGCCGCTGCCTGGACCACTTCTCGAGCTCGGCCCTCGCCACGTCGCCCGCCTTGGGCAGGTCGCCGAAGATGAGGTCCACCACCCCGTCGGCCCGCTCCTCTTGGGCGCGGAAGGGAGCCCTGACTTTACAACAACAAAAAAAGAAGGGGCCCTGGGGAACACAAATAAATAGACACAAATAACAGGATTCCCCATATTTTCCAATCTTTTCTGGGTTTTCGTCTCCCCCCCCATTCCCGTATTTCCCAATATTGTCCTGGGAGTCGACGATTAATTGTGTCTGTGATTTTTTCCCCTCCTGAAAAATACGGATGTGTTTCGCCGCTCTCGGCCCCTGGGGGCCCATTGCCGGGCCCAGGGGGCCGGCGGAAAACGGCGGCGCGCACAGGGGGGGAGAGGGGAGGGGGACGGGGAAGGCTGCTTCGAAGGAGGCTGCTTGTTGGAAGGCGCGGGCCTTAGATCTGCAGACGAGGCCCGCGCCTTCTAAGAAACAGGGGGAGGGGGGGGGAAGGCTGCTTCGAAGGAGGCTGTTTCTTGGAAGGCGCGGGCCTTTTAGATCTACAGACAAGGCCCGCGCCTTCTCTAAGAAGCAGCGGTGCTTCTAAGAGGCCGCCCCCTTCCCCCATAACTACTCCGCTCTGCGCGCGGCCGTAGACAGCTCAGGATTGGACCCCGTCCCTGGGGAGAAGCTCGCAGCCTCCTGCAGGGAACCCCGCGGTGGGCAGATTGGCACCTCGGATCTCTGAGAGCACTTCCTCGACGAGATGGCAGGAGCTCTTTGAAAGGGTCTAAGGGCACACGAATAAATACACACACGAAACCCAGGATCCCTCGTATTTCCCGATATGTTCTGAACTTTCGTCTTCCCCCCTTCCCATGTTTTCTTATGTTTTCCTTGGCATCGGCGATGCATTGTGCGTGTGTGACCCGGGAGCCGCCAAACAGACGGCTCAGCTCAGGATGACGAGCGGGTCCTCTCCTGGAGACGGCCCCGGGGTCCTACAGGACCCGCTTTCGAAACATCGGCGCGGAGGCCTCAGAGCTCTGGCGGCTCGCAACGGAAGCAGGACCGCCGAAATTTTGGGGGACACTTTGGGCCTGTGGGGGCTGGCCTCGGGACGTATAACATTGCTCGCACGCAGCTGATCTCCCGCCCCGCCCTTTCCCATCCGCCCCGATGTCTCGAGGAAGCGCAGGCGCGGATTCTCGACGCGTGGACTGGCGGCGGGCCCCGCTCCTTTGCAACATCGGCACGATCCGTCGCCGAATGGGGCGGCACTGGTGTCATGTTTCTGGGGTGCCGCCCCCGACCCATGGATCCGGCGCTCACGCGCCAGATCAACGGAATCCGAATCCATGTCAGCTTGCGCCCGACTGTCGCCCGCACGGGGACATGAGGGCCCCGCCCCCCAGTGGCTCCGCCGTTGCGCCGCCTGGGGTTCACCCCGACCCCTTGTTGGAGCCCGACGCGATTCCAGGACTTTGGCAAGACAATCTCGGAAACCAGACTATTTCCAAGATCCTTTCGGAACTCGTTCCATGTTGGCCGCTCATGCCCCACTTTCTGGCCTCCTGAATCGGCCCGTCGGGTCCCCGGCGACGCTTCCTCGGCCCAAGTTTGCCAAGCAATCGGAACCTTTAAAAGTAGTGTGAGAAAAAACGTGGCTACGTGCAAATGCGTTTGTACTTAGAGTTGAATATATATATATATATACACACACACCACTGTCCAGCTTCCGACCCAGTACCGACGGTCTCACGACTAATGGCGCCGCCATATTGCTCCTTTCCAGCGGGCAACGAGCAGCGGCAGCGATGCGATGGCGGTAGAAGAGGGGGGGGGGGGGCGGCATGATGATGCCTCTTTTATGGGTGGCAGAAACGGGGGCCGCGTCGCGCAGGAGCCCGAGCCACTGTCAAGAACTTGCCGCCCCAGGGTTCTGGGTAAATCGCCCGAGCTCGTAGGCCGAAGCGGCCAAAGGCATCGGGCACAGCGACAGCATGCACATTCTTGTTGGCCCACGGGGGCGCGTCCTCGAATGGCTGCACATGCGGTGCGATGGGGGAAAAAAAAGCATGAAGCTGACGCGTCTCCTGCGCGCGGTGGACACGGGGGCCCTGTCGCGCAGGGGCCCGAGCCCGAGGAATTTGACGCCCCTCTTCTGCGATGGGAGTGGATCGCGCAGGAGGGGGGGCGCAGGCCCAGAAGCGTGCAGCGCGGGCCAGACGCTGCTGGCGTCGAGGCCCGCCACTACAACTCGCTCCGCGCGCCCCTTCTCTCGCCAAAATCCCCTTTTGCCGCGCCGCGCTCGTGCGCGAGGGGCGCGCGGGCGGCCTCGAAACCCTGGCCACCCTCCATATCGAGCCCTCCGCACTTGGGGGCCCCCTTCCCGCCCGAGACCCCCCCGCCGCCGCGGCGGAGAAACGGGGGGCCCAGAGACGAGAGGGCGGCCCTCCACGCGGAGGCGCTCGCCGGAGGGTGAGGGTTCAAGACAATCCCGCAGGTGCGCGGCGGTTCCTCACGCTCGACCATTCGCCCCGAAACGTCGCGCGGGGCCCCGCGCGCCGCCGCGCCACCTCGACCCAACTCCGCCCGCGCGACGCCGCCCGAGACGCGCCGGGCAGGGCGGCCACCGCGGCGCGAGGCGCGTGCGCCCGACCTCACCGGCAGCGCCCAGCCGTGGGCATCCTGCTCGGGGCGGCCGCCCTGTTCTCGACGATCGACGCGTGCGCCAGCTCGTCGAGCACGCGCCGCTTGGGGCCCGCGGGCGCCGCGTAGGCCCCGGAGGATTCGTCGAAGCCCGGTGTCTTCATGCCGCCGAGGTAGTCTGTCTGCGTCCTCGTTCTCATCGCGCGGTTGCCGGTCCATGCCCAGCGCCGTCTCGCGCGACCTCAGCTCCTTTGCTAGCTCGATGAGGAGGGCCGCCAACTGCCACTTCGTCGCCCAAGGTTGACCGTCGACTGCGCCGTCCTGAAGTCCGCCCACTGGCGCAGCCCCCGGGGCCTCGCGAACAGCTTCGGCGGAGGAATGCGGCGAGCCAGCACCGCGGCGACCCTGTTCAGATCGTCGGCCGTGGCCTATGCCCCAGGGAACAATTCCTTGTCTACTACCAGCGCGTGCAGGCGAGCTCCTCGCGCGCCGCCGTTCGGCGGCGCGCCCCAGACGCCTGCCTGGCAGGGCCCGTCCTCCGCATTCGGGCCCGAGCGGAAGTGCCCGTTGCCTTTCGGTTTCGAACTTGGTGGACACCTCTAGTTCCTGTCAATTTGCCAGTCGCATGCCGATCCACGTCAGCACGACGAGCCTGGTCGCCCACCGAGTGGAAACCTCCGGCTCGTCTGCCTTTGCAGCGCCAGCGGGCCTGGCGCGCGCCGCCCCCGGAAGCGGCCTCTCCCAAACAAGGGCCATTGTCGCGATGCCCAGTCGCCCCGGGCCCGACGCCATCTCCCCCGCGTGGATGGCGCCGCGTTCGACCGTCTCCCGGCACCAGGCCGCCGCCCGATCCGCCCTCGCCTCCGAGACGCCCACCCACTGCGCACTCGGCGCAGCCGCCCCGCGCCGCGGCCCCGTGCGCCGGGAAGCTGGAGGCGCCAAATACGACGACCATGAAGGGCATTGCCGGTCGCCTCCGACGCCCCACTCTGTTTGCCTCCAAGTCGTCGGCGTAGGTGAACTTTTCTACTGGCCAGCCGCCTCGCCTTCGAGCTCGCGAGCCAGCGCGCGCCCTCGACGTCGGTGGAGAGCAAGTGGATGACTTAGCGCCCGTCCCCGCAGTCACTCGGGAAGAAATTATTTCCTGCGAACCTCGGCATTGCCCGTCGGCTCCGGCGTCGACCCTGGTCATTCACGGCGACCTGGTGCACGAGTCTCTTCTTGCCGCTCGCGCTGTCCAGGACTTGCAGCGCCGCTGCGGCGCTTTCTCGTGGAAGCAGTTGCGCAACTGCTCCTCGGACATCTGGATCGTCCAAACGCTAGCGTTAGTTTTCTACCCTGCAAAATACTAAACTTGGCCGCTTCCAGGGCGGCGCAGTTGGCCGCCTCCTGGTCGAAGCGTCAATTCGCGAGCTCCTCGAAAAATTCGCCCGACCGTGGCATCTGGGGCATCTCGTGCAGCATGCCCGCAGCGACTCCCGTCTCCCGCTCCTTCATCAGCACCGCGTCGGGGCCCCCTGCCTCGCGTGGGAGTGCCGCCAGCAAGCAGCGGCGGACGGGCTGCCCCTCTGCGACGCAGCCCAGGTCGTCGCCGTGGCCCACGCGCCCCTCCGCGCCCAGCCAGCCCTCCCTGTCCGCATCGTGGACCTCCTTCCTCGCGGGCCAGCGCCGTCCCGATGCTTCTGCGCCGCCAGCGCGTTCTGCGGCGCCCCAGCCGCCCGTGGCTCCCATGGCCCCTTCGAGAAGCTCGGACCTAAGCGAGGTCCAGTTCCGGGAGTTCGGAAGGTTGGAATCCCAGCGGCCAGGTCAAGCATGGCCCGCGCCGTCGCGCAATCTCTCGGGCCCTCGATGCACTCGCAGCGGCGCGGCGGCCCTGCGCCTCCGAATTGGCGCGGGGGCCTCGCGGTCGCGCGCCTCTTTTCCCCCGGCGAAGCCGCGATGAAAACATCCGCGCGGCAGTCGGTGTCAAGGTCGCAGTGGCACCTGAGGGCGGCGCCGTCGAGCTCCGAGAGCGCCTCGACAGGTCTGGCCTCATCGGGGCCGCCCCTGATGTAGATGCCACCCTTGCCGAGCGGGCCGCTCTCGAGAGGGGGGGCTTCTGCGGCGCCCCTCGCCCGCGTCCTCGCCCGGCTTCTCAAGCGGGCCTAGCGAGTGGCTCCAGGTGAGGTTCACCCCACCCCCCATGGGCCGCGGGCCGCTCGGCCGCGTCGCCCGCGCCCTGCGCCGCCCACTCGCGCGGCTGCGGGGGCGGGCCGCGGCGCCCGATGTCTTGGACGCGGCGTCGCCCTGCGTGCGCTCGAGCGACTTGAACCCGACCGGCGGCGGCGGCAGCCGCCCGCGGCGCGCGCCGTTCGCGCCGGACTGCGGCCCCGCCCTGATGGAGCCGCAGGTCGGTGGTCAGCCAAGGAAGCCGACCGATGAGGCGCGTCGGCTTCGGGCACAGCGCCGAGGCTGCTCCTGTGGAGGGCCGCGGCGCGCGCGTCGTCGAGGGCGCGGAGCTCGCCCATCATTGGCAGCTGTCACGCGCTGCCATGGCGAGGCGCTGGCCGCTGAGGTCGCCCGCCTGGGCGCCGCCGGGGTTCTCGGGCTGCCCCGCGAGGCCGGCCGCCTGCTGGCCGCCAGTCAGCCGGGCCCTCAGCGCGCGGAGGGCGGCGTCTGCGCGTTGGCTGGGCGCCTGGCATGTCAGCGCCTCTCGACCCCCTGGCCAGGGGAAGCCCCGAGGGCACTGCAGTGCGCTGACCGCGCCGGGCGCGGACCTCGGCGATTTCTCCGCGGAGTAGGAGGATGAGGATGAGGATGAGGATGAGGATGAGGATGAGGATGAGGATGAGGATGAGGATGATGATGATGATGAGGAGGAGGAGGAGGAGGAGGAGGAGGAGGAGGAGTTTGAGGAGAAGGAGAAGGAGAAGGAGGAGGAGGAGGAGGAGGAGGGCAAGAGGGAAGGAGGAGGGAGGGTCGAAGGAGTGAGCGAGGGAGGGATGGGGGGGGGGACCGCCTCCCCACTGGCCCCCTCCCTGGGAGAGCTCCTGGGACAGCGCGGCCTGCGCGGCGCCGCCTCTCGGTGCGCTGGCCTGCGGCTGCTCCGAGCACGTGGCCGCCACCACCGCAGAGCAGTAGAGGTAGAAGGACAGCTCGTGCGTGTCGCGCGAGCCGTCGAGGAAGTCGACGAAGAGCGCGGCGCCGCGGTCCTGAGGATAGAAGAAGGGAAAGGAAGAGGGAAGAGGGAAGAAGAAGGGAAAGGAAGAGGGAAGAGGGAAGAGGAAGAGGGAAGAGGAGGGAGGGGGGAGGAAGAGGGAGAAGGAAACACGGCATTAGCATAAACATGTTTAAACTTTCGGCGTTCCGCGCGGATTTATTGGATCCGCGCTGGGGCCCAGTGCCTGGCGCGCGGAGCGCGCCCGGGTCGGCGCGGGGGGCACCACCAATGGGCCCCCGAGCGGACCCAAGAAATCTGCAGAAAGTTTGCACTAGTGTCGATAGTTCTTCTTCTCGGGAGCGGCCAAGAAGGGGGTGTCCAAGAGGGGGGGTGCAAATCATGACCGGCGGCATGTGCGCGGCCCAGCGGGGGGGCCAGGGACGTAAAGAAATAAGAAGCGGCGCCCTGAAATCTGGGGAGATATCATGGCCCCCGCCATGATATCCACTCCCCCCTAGTCATCACCCCCCTCTTTTCCGCCCCCGATCTTCGGGAGGAACAGCGCTGGTGAGTGGAGGGACATGCGCTGGGGAGGGAGAACACAGAAACGGAGCCGGCGATGCATCGCCGATGGATCGGCGACGCGCCTCCGATGGCAAAGCCACAAGTCCCTGGGAGGGGTGGGCCATCGGGCCCCCATCGGCGATCCATGGGAGACTTGGGGCCGATGCATCCCCCCCTTAGCCTATCCATCCATGACGCTGTCCCCTGGCTTTCGCGTCATGACTCGGGCCTCCGGCGGCCGCTCGGGAGGATCCCAGCACCCCCTCACCGCCCTCGGCGAGGCGCAGCCGCTGGAAGGCACCGCCGAGGCTGGGGAACCACGGAGAACCGACGACATCGCCCGAAACCTTCGGACCTCAGACGTGAACGCCTCGAACCTCGAGCTCGAAAACCTCGAACCTCGCGGCCGTCCCCCCCGAAGGTTGCCCTGAGCCAGTCCCTCCCTGGCGTTGTCCCCGAGCTCCGCGGGCGCGTGGAGGAGCAGGGACTGGACGAGCTGCCAAGACTTCTGGCTCACCACCTTCTTGACCCCGTGCTGCCGGCGCAGGGACTCCTGGCAGGGACTCCGTCGGCGCCGCTGGCTCTTGTTCCTTCCTCCTCCTTCCTCCTCCTCCTCTTCCTCTTCTTCCTATGTTTCCTTTTCCTCCTCATTCTCTTCCTCCTCCTCTTCCTCCTGCTCCTCATTTCTATGATTCCTCTTCCTCCTCCCTCCTTCTCCTCCTCCTCGTCTTCCTCCTCGTCCTCCTTCTCCTCTTCCTCCTCCACCTCCTCCTCGTCTTCCTCTTCCTCCTCCTCCTCCTCCTCCTCCTCGTTCTCGTCTTCCTCTTCCTCTCCCTCCTCGTCCTCCCTCCTGCTCCCTCCTCTTCCTCCACCTTGTCTTCTTCCCCTTCCTCCTCCTTCCCCTCCTCCTCCTCCTCCTCCTCCTCCTCCTCCTCCTCCTCCTCCTTCTGCTTCGACTCCTCCTCGCACTCCTCCTCCCTCTCCCTCCCTCTGCAGCGCCGCGGCCTTGCGCGATACCCTCGGCCTGGGTCAGAGGCTGGCGCCCGCGCAGGCCGGGGGGTATACGTATAGTACCGCAGGGGATCGAGGAGCACGGTCAGTTCTCGATTGGCGACTGGGCAAGGGGGCCCCACCGGCGCCATCTCGTGCAGGATCTGCCAGGGTCCGTCAGCAACGAATCAGGACGTCGGATCGAGTCGGGATATTTGCACCAGATCGGCCTGCATCGGGACGGCATCGCCATCGCCGCATCAGATCGGCGTAGAGATTGAATCGTTGAGTCGGACCGAGGCGGCGAAAATCGATACCGAGTCGGATCCATCGGATCGGCATCGGCCCTGCCTGTGGGGACGGACACGCGAGCGCCAGCGGAGCAGGCTCTGAGAGTGGGCGCCGTGCGGCCGCGGCTCCTCCCCCCGACAGGGCCAACCTTCCGCCTCGTTCGATCTTCCTCCACCGATCTGCCTCCACCTCCTCATAATCCTCCTCCCATTCCTCCTCCTCCTCCTCCTCCTCCTCCTCTCCTCCTCCTCCCTGTCCTCCTCCTCCTCCTCCTCCCTGTCCTCCTCCTCCTCCTCCTCCTCCTCCTCCTCCTCCTCCTCCCTGTCCTCCTCCTCCTCCTCCTCCTCCTAATCTCGCCACCACCACCGAGATCGAGACCATCCCCTCGGTGGATGCACACCGACACCGACGATACCGGTGCTGGTGTCAACCTCTGGGCCTCCGACTGCTGACCGTGTCCCGCCCTCGGGGACGGAAACCTGACCCTAGGGGGACACGCACGATATAACCCTGTATACAGGGGGATCTTCGACGAAGCATTAAAAAAAAACAAAGATTCCCCAGAGAGGTCAAAGCATAGTCCAGAAGTGGTCCCCCGACGATTTTTGGACTAGCTTTTTGGACTATTTTGGCGGTATGTTTTTTTCGTAAAACAAAAATCGTCGAAAATCCCCCTGTAGGGGGACAGGCCCGACTCAAGCCCAGGGTCGCGACTTAAGTCCTACCACGACATGTTCCTAAAACCCAAGAATGTTCTAAGAACAAAAACAAGGTTCTTAGAACATTAACCCGATGTGTTAAACCAAGACGGTCCCAACCAGAAATGTTCCAAGAACCTTTCGTGGAAACTACAGAAAAGGCTCTTAGAACCTTGTTTGGTAGGGCTATAGGCGAGCCAGGACGCTTCTTTGGAGTCCCGAAACGCTGCGGTGACAGACCGTGCGGTGACCTCGGGACCCCAAGAGGCCTCACTGCACGGTCCGTCACCGCACGGCTTTGGGACCCCGGAGGCCCCTGTCGCCCGAGACGTCCTCGGAGAACGACCCGAGTCCCAAAACCGTGCGGTCACCCCGGATCCCCACCGACTCACCGCACGGTGCGGTCACCACACCGTTTGGGGGCCCCCGAGCTTCGCCACTGGAGGAGGAGGAGGAGGAGGAGGAGGAGGAGGAGGAGGAGGAGGAGGAGGAGGAGGAGGAGGAGCCTCCCCGGGCGGCGAGGCGGCCCCCGGCCCCTGGCCCGCGAGAGGCCGCCGACGAGCACCGCGCCGAGCCGCCGCCCGGCCGGGCGCCGCCGCGGCGCGCCGCGGCAGAGAAGCGCCGGGCGGCTGCGCCGCGGCGCGGGCGTGCGCCCCGCGCCAGCGAAAAAACGAAGACGAAACAGCATATAACAAAAGATTATCACGAGACGAAACTAAAGAAACCAAAGCACTAAACTTAAACTGTAAATATCAAGTGGAAACTAAACACTTAACATGTTAGAAGGTTGACCTGAACTAAACAACAAAAAAAACAAAACTGCAACAATAGACGAAATATTTGAAAGATACGAAGTGCAGAAGGCGGGCTATAGTTCTGGATATATGGGATCAAGAACTGGCAGAAGAAAAACATACTGTGACTTACGAAGCACAAAAAATAAACGGGGGGCCCGACCCACGCCCGACCCGGACAGGCCCGCGCCGCGCCTGCCGATCACGGCGGGAAGAGCTCTCGGCAAATCCTCTCGGCCTCCCTGGGGCCCCCGCCAGGCCCCGCGGGACCGTCGAGAGCGGCTCATAGGACGAAAGACGGGTCCTGGGGGAGGGGTGCAGACCTCTGTCGGGTCGGGCGAAAGGGGGGGATAGCAAAGGGGGGGTTTGAGAATCAGCTCGCGTAGTTGATTTTCCCGGCGCCTCCCGGCGCCGGAGGCGGCTATGCATCGAGGAATGAGCCCCTCGGTGAGGCCGAAACCAGCTGCATGCAGCAAATTTCGTAACCCCCCCTTTCCCAATCCCCCCCTTTCGCCCGACCCGACTCTGGGGGTCGACGCCATGGAACAATCACGGCGTCGGGGCGTCGGAGGGATGTGGAGATCTGGCCCGAGCACGTCCGCATAGCCGCCGCCCGCCGAGGTCCCACAAGAAGAGCGGTCCCCTGCAGAGAGCCGACGCGCCGACCCTGGACGTCGCGAAGAGACCACGATGAGAATGGATGAAAGCCGATGGTTTCCTTCAAACTTCGCAACAGCGTGGGCGCAAACTTGTTTTCAACATTCCTGTTGCGAAGCCGTGTGTTTTACATGTTTTCGGGACGCCCGATATTGAAATCCTGGTGGGACCTGGAGTTGTTGAGAGGTTTCGGCATGCGTCCTGGACCGTCCGGGGTCGGGCAGTTCGGGGATGGACAGACCCCCCTTGAGCAAAACGTGGTTTAGTGAGAACGACCCGAGGCCCAAACCTGGCGGGCACAAGCCTGGAAAGTGACGGCCACGGCGCCCTCTCGAAAACCGAAAACGGACAATTCACGAATCGACGCTTCACTGTTGGGGGCTCTGTCCACCCCCGAGCAGTAGCTGGATATGCGTTCTGGGAGGGGCCTCGCCTAGTCGAGGGCGCGCTGCCGGCCTACAGGGCCGGGGCGAGCCCGAAAACTGCTCGGCATGGAAGCCCGGCCTGGGGACAGCGTCGGGACCTCCGGGGACTACGCGCTGAAACGTCAAGACCTCGCAGATCTGGGGACGCAGCCTCGCCGCCGCCGCCGTTGCCGTCGCCGGCGTCGAGCAAGTCCCCCGCGGGTTCGGCTCGGGCTTCGGGCTTCCGGCTCCGAGCCTGGGGCTCGGGCTCGCGCGCGGGCTCGCGCTCGGGGCTCGGGGCTCGGGGCTCGGCTCGAGTTCGAGTCCGCGGGCTCCGCGCACGAGAGCTCCCCGCGCGCCTACGGCAGGTCCGTGCGGCGTGGATCCAGGGGCGCCGAGCTTCGTGCTGCGCGAAGCGCGCGAAGAACTATTGCGCTCCCGCGCCGCCCCCCAGGGGAGAAGAGGAGGATTTCTGGCCACCGCTCGGACGTCCATTCCTTGTGCTTTTTGTTTCGGTCTCGTGCGTGTTTTTTTCGCCAAACGATCAATGAAGGAGGCTCCTCGATGGTCCTCGCCGAGGGAAAAATGCACACGTCCGAGCGATGCCAAGGGAGGAGGAATCGGAGCCGAAGCGCGAAGCGCCAAGCGCGAACGTCTTTGCGCCCTCGACAGGGCCCTTGGGATCGTTGGACGTCGGCCGATGCGGGGCGCCAGCGAGGCTCGCCATGGAACGCTGGGGCGCTGGGGTCCCAGACGTCCGACGTCGTGATTATGACTCCACGATGTGGCTCCCCAAAGAGGTCTGGAGCCCTTTCCAAGGACTGGCCACTCCTCCCGAATCGTTGTTGTTGACGGCCCCGACCCCGGGGCCCAGCGAGGGGGCCGGACACTGCAAAAGCTTTTCGTCGTCTTGCGCCCACGGCTCGAGCAGGAGATCGACTACTGAATCTGCGTTTGCCCCGGAACTGATTTGCTGGACGAATCTACAGCATCTATGTAGAGTGATCGTAGGGCTATCGGAGAATCAGACATGTGCTTCGTGGATTCGAAGATCGGGTCGGGCGAAAGGGGGGGATAGCAAAGGGGGGGTTTGAGAATCAGCTCACGTAGCTGATTTTCCCGGCGCCTCCCGGCGCCGGAGGCGCTCATGTATCGAGGAATGGGCTCCTCGGTGGGGCCGAAACCAGCTGCATGCGGCAAATTTCGTAACCCCCCCTTTCCCAATCCCCTCCTTTCGTCCGGCCCGAGAAGGCGACGAAACTTCGGGAGCTCGATCTCCTACGCCGACGACGCGGCGATGGCAAGGGCTGTCGCCGCGACGGCGGGGCACGACCCCGCGGTGCACACACCCGCCCGCGCCTGGCGCGACCCCGCCGCCCCCTTCCTGGTGGCCTGAGGGCGATCGACACCGGGGGGCACTGGCTCTCAACATGTGGGGCACCCCTCGCGCAGCTCACTCCGACACATCGCCGATCTATCGGCGATGGCCTCCTCCTCCTCCTCCTCCTCCTCCTCCTCCTACTCCTCCTCCTCCTGCGCCGCTCCTGCTCCTCCTCCTCCTCCTCCTCCTCTTCCTCCTCCTCCTCCTCCTCCTGCTTCTCGTCCTGCTCCCCCCCTGATCCTCGATATAACTCCTCCTGCCCCCGATCTCGGCTTCGCACGCTCATGGCTGGGGCTGGCCGTCAGGCCCCGCTCGGCGATCCATGGGCGACTGAGGCCCGAGGCGTACCCGCCCCGAGCCTGGCCGCCCGCAACGTGGACCCGTGCCCTTCGGCTCACGGCTCCGGCCTCCGACGGCCGTCCGAGGACCACCTGGGCACCAGCCGAAGGAGGAGGATGAGGAGGAGGAGGAGGAGGAGGAGGAGCAGGAGGAGGAGGAGGAGCAGGAGGAGCAGGAGGAGGAGGAGCAGGAGGAGGAGGAGGAGGAGGAGGAGGAGCAGGAGGAGGAGGAGCAGGAGGAGGAGGAGGAGGAGGAGGAGGAGGAGGGCCCGGTCTCCGACGGCCCGCCCGGACCCCCGGTGGGGCGCAGCGGTTGGAAGGCGTCCCGAGGCCGGAAGACCGCCGGGCACCGGCGAGCACGTCCAGAGCCTCGGGCCCGATGCCTCACCTCGAATAGGGCGGCGAGATCTATACATATCCACTGCTCCCTGGCCAGGCCCATCCTCAACCCCGCAGCGGTGTATACGCCACGCCCTCCTGGCTTGGCCAGGAGGGCGCATACACAGCTCCTGGGTTCAAGATGGGCATGGTCAGGGAGCAGTGGATATGTATAGATTTCGTCGCCCGAGTCCAGAACCTCGAGCCCGATGCCTCACCTCGAACCTCGAGCTCCCGAAGCTTCCAACCCTGACCCCCTCGAGCAATGAAAAAATCACGACGGGAGGTTTTTCCTAATTTTCGGCCTCGGGGGGCCCTCACCGGGCCTCGGGAGTGTCAAAAAACGACTCAGGATGCAAAGCCGGTCATGGAGAAAGGGTCGGGACCTACGGGGGTCGACGTAATGAAAAAATCATTACGTTGGGGGTCTGGGAACGTAGCCTCCGACGGCCGTCCGAGGACCAAACCTGGGCACCACCTCTCGGCGAGGGGCACAGCGGCTGGAAGGCATCCCGAGGCCGGAAAACCGCCGGGCACCGGCTAGCGCATCGTTTTCGTTCCACAGGTGTTAAACAGGAAGCGACGGTTGGCCACAATCTCGGCCGGTGTTCGTATCAGCACCCCATGGGGCTCACGTGAGTCAGTAGTACATTGATCCACGTGTACTTCGCGAGTGCCCTTGCATTTGGCCAATGAGCCCGACGCCTCGTCTCGAACCTCGAGCCCGAGACCTCTAACGTCGCCTCCGAGGGCCGGCTCCTGCAGCACCTCGCAGAGCGTCCTGCGGAGCCGGTGGGCTGCATCGCGGCGGTCGTCGTCCGACCTCTTCGAGGCGAGGACGTCCAGCAGCACGGCTCTGAGCTGCCTCGCCAAGGCGGTCGAGGATGGCAATCAAACAGCCGGGTCAACTACCACAACTTGGGTTGGCTTTGAAGAGAGATGAACTCTCCTCGAAGGACTCAGATGTAACTTCCAAATGGTCCTGGACGGTCTTGAATCGGCCTTCCAGGTCTCTCCTCCTTGCCCATGTCCTACATCATCCCTCCTATATCATCCCTTTGTCATTGACAAGTGTCCGTCGTCGTAGGCCTCGATCGCGTCCGTCTTCTGCTCTGCAAACAAAGTCTTCTGAGGCAACTCACGGTGGGCGATTGTGGGCGCGAGAAGGCACGGATCAGACGGATCTACTGAAACAAACTTACACGTCGGTCGGAAGTAGGTAAAAACATGAAGTAGGAAGGCGGATATATTGGATTGGGCCCAGGCCCTCCCAGAGAATAACAAGACACAGCAAAATCAGGTCGATTCTTGAAGTAGGAAGGCGCTTGAAGTAGATTGGGATCTGGGAATCCAGAAATACCTACTTCCAACGACCGGCGTGTAGCCTTCTATCAAGCCGTAGTGAACCAGACTAGGCCGGCTCAGGCCAAGTCAGGCCATAGTAACACCAAAGACCAAAGAGGAACCATGGCCGACCGATGCTTCGTTCAACCTCCAAGAAGTTGCAAGTTGCAAGCGGTGGGGGGGGGGACGATCACGGGGAGGGCGAGGGACAACCCAGCGCGTACTACCGCTGCTGCAACACGCCCTCCGGTCCCCTAACCTCCCCTCGCACATCTTGGTGCAAGCATCCCGCTTCGCTGTGGTGAGCGACCGCCTGCATGGAGAGGGAACGACGGGCTTGCACCGCAGGCTCAAGGCCCAGGAGGGCCAGGATAACCAAATCAAACATCCGTGGCTCTGCACCAGACTCTGGACGTCAAAAAAGACAGGGCGGATGAGAACCCGACGGGCCCCGCCGCGGGGCTTGGCTGCACCGCGTCTTCGGCAGAGAACAGTGAGATCCCTGGAGACCTGCAAGTTTCCCAACATCGCAACGATACTCGGTGCAAGAGCCTGCGAAGTCAGAAACATGTGTTCGAGGGGGCTCCGCTCCCTGCCTATTGGATTCAGTGAGCCTTGGATGACAAAATATGGGCAGAACCGCGGCGAGAACATCATTTGGAGCACGGAGCTTCCACCCAAACCCACGCACCTGACAAACTGCAAGGGCGTCTCAAACAACGCGATTTGGACCCGCTCCGTCCTCCACACATGTGCTGTTCGCATGCTCGTTGTAACCTCGAGCTGGAGGCAGACACTGTTGTCCATGTATCCACCCTCCAAACGGCGTGCCGCTGGCATCCTTGAACTTCCCGATCGCTGTACAATGGGGATGTCGCGCAAGAGAGCAAACCCTTGCAAAATGCAGCCGGGGAAACCCACAGGTACCGATACCGCTACTCCCCAGACCTCTCCCGGGGTGCGTTCTGACCAGAATTTCGAGGCGAATCCAGCGGTGGCGACGAGGGCCTGCCAGGAGGCCTAATAAGTGAAAAACGAAGCAAGGGTAGCGGTATGGGTACCTTTTCCTCCTCTGAGCAGCCGTTGGAAATGCCGAGCCCCGGGTCAGGAGCCGTCAGGTCCTCGCGTCACCTCGAGGAGCGCCGAAGGAGGAGCCAGAGGACCTCGTTGCTGGTCACGGCCAGCCTCGGCAAGAGCAGTCTCTGCCCCGACCCAGTCAGCTCTCCAGAACGGCCCGAAGACCTGAGCTCCCCTCCCGAGCCCCAAAGCGGTCCTTACTGCCGCGTCTTGGCTGTAACCGCTGTGGCGCTGCGGAGCACCGCGAGCAACAACAGCGCAGCCACACGGCACAAGAAAGGGCAGGGGCGAGCCAAGCGATGGCTGGTTTCCCGTCCGTATCGCTGGCCATGGCCTGGCGGCCTCGACGTCGGCGACGACAGATCGTGAATACGTTGTTGATCGTCCAGTTCCCCGAGGGGCGCTGCGACTGCCCAGGGGGCACCTCTGAGTCGCTCCGTCGCTCTGCTCTGTCTGGCGAACCCATCCGAGGCAGCCCCTGCTCTCGGACAGGGCCGCACTGCCCCCCTCGGACCCTGACCTTCCAGCGTGCCAGACAAGAGCCCTCCACACCTATAGGCCTATCTTTAGGTCGGGCATGTCCTCCTACATGCTGATGCTGGAAAACGGTTTTTCTTTCAAGTGCTCAAACATACTCAAAAGTAGAAGCAACAAGCGTATACAAACCGTCCCCACACTATGTTTTACTATCTTTGAATTTTCCTCCTGTAGAGGGACATGCTCGACTGAGACCAATCTGGACTTCTTTAAAACCATGGCGAAAATTAAAACGTCGAGATCCTGGTGCTCTTTTTGTTAGCCCTCCTGGAGGGTCAGGGGAGGAAGGCCGCCCGTGCCCCGTGCTCCCCAGGGATATCCGACGCCTGGTTCATGTCTTGCCACACGGGGCCCCCAGAAGTCCCGACCCAGATGGGTAAGACATCGCACCTCCAAAGGGAGCTGAAGAAGAAATCGGAGGACCAGGAACAGGAAGAGGAGGAGGAGGAGGGGGAGGAGAAGGAGGAGGAGGAGGAGGAGGAGGAGGGGAGGAGGGGGGGAGGAGGAGGAGGAGGAGAGAGGAGGAGGAGGAGGAGGGGAGGAGGAGGAGGAGGAGGGAGGAGGAGGAGGAGGAGGAGGAGGAGGAGGAGGAGGAGGAGGCCCCAGGGCCAGCACCTGCATCCTGAGCCGTTCTCTGACGGCCCCCGGGGCCTGCCGAAGGCCCCGGGGGTCGAGAGAACAGCAAGAAACTCCCGTCTTGTTTTTGGCCCAAGACGTTGGAGGTCTGGCTCTGGCCTTAAGTCGGGCGTGTCCCCCTACAGGGGGATTTTCGACGAAAAATAAACCATACTCAAAACATGCTCCCCAATGGTCAAAAAATACTTTGAAAAATAATCGCCAGACTATGTTTGGAATATTTTCTGACTACTTTTGGGATATTTTCAATTTTTCGTCGAAAATCCCCATGTAGGGGGACACGCCCGACTTAATCCGAGACGCTGGAGGTCTGGCTCTGGCCCACGGGGAGGGCAGGGCACCTGCTCGGGCCCGCGGGGAGGCAGGACCAGCCGGCACCGGATCGGACACTCGGATCCCATCGCATCGGTGGCTCAGAGATGGGGCCCTGAGAGATGGGGCCCCGAGGATAGGACGGGGTCCAAGGGTGATTCAACATTCTCCTCCTCGTTCTCCTCCCCTCCTCCTCCTCCTCCTCCTCCTCCTCCTCCTCGTCCTCCTCCTTCTCCTCCTCCTCCTCCTCCTCCTCCTCCTGCTTGAAGCACCTCGTCCTCAGGACCCCACTCCACAGGACCCCATTTTTGAACCACCGATCGGAATGTGCTTCGCATCGGCCCGCACCGGCACGGAGTCGGAACCGGATCGGATTGGCCGCGCTGGGACGCACCATGGGGCCGCGTCGGATAGCCGGAGAGTCGGAATCGAAACAGATCAGACTGGCCGAAATCGACATCGAGTCGGATCGATCGGATCGGCATGGACCCTGGGACCCAGACCCCCGACGTCGTGATTTCTGCGCAGCGTCGACTCCCAAAGGTCTGGACCCCCTCCCGGGACCAGATTTGCATCCTGAGTAGTTTTTTGACGGCCCCGAGGCCCAGGAAGCGGCCCCTGGAGACAGAGCGTCGCGAAAACCCTCCGTCGTGATTTTTTTCTCTCGCAGCGCGAGGGGGGCGAGGAGGATATGGAGGCAGGGGGGCGATGGGGGAGGGCGCCTCACCGTCAGGCACCCCTCGTCGGCGCCGGGGCCGGCGGGCGCGCGGCCGTCCTGGCCACCTGCAGCGGGGCACGGGGGGGGAAAGAAGAAGAAGGCACGGAGGCCGCTTCTTTCTGCCGGAGCGCCTCCCGCCGAAACAGCGGTGGTGGATTGCGAGTTTCCGCGTCCACACGCCGATACCACCACAGATTCGCGCCCGCGGCTCCTGCGTGAAGCAGAGGGCACGGAGGCCGCTGCTCCCCGGAGATGGAGGTGCGGAGCTCCGCCCGGATATGCCCTGCGGCGACGAGCCCCCGGGGGGGGGGAGGGAGGAGGAGGAGGAGGAGGAGGAGGAGGAGGAGGAGGAGAGGAGGAGGAGGAGGAGCAGGAGCAGGAGCAGAGGAGGAGGAGGAGGAGGAGGAGGAGGAGGAGGAGGGGAGGAAGTGAGAGGGGGCGGGCCTTCTCAAAAGGCTCGGAAGTCCCCAGGCCTTCTGGGAAGTTTCCTGCGGCTTCCCCGAAGACGCAGAAGACCCCTTCAGAAGGCGCGAAGGCTTCCAAGAGGAGCCCCGCCGCCTTCTGAGAAGGCCTTCGTCTCATTTCCCCCCTCGTTTCGCCGCCGATCCTGTATCCGCACGGATCCTTTCGGAACTCCGCACGGATACATCCGGAACTTCGCCGGAAATAATCCCACACATTTGATTGTGTCTGTTTCTGCTACGACTCTCGCAGGGTGCGTTCTGGCCAGAATACTCAAGTGGCGCGCCCGAAATGGGTACGGAGAAAAATGTGGTACAGTGCCCGAAAGCAGCTGCTGTCAACATCCAACAGCGGCCGCTGTTGGGAATGCGACTCTGTGCCTCCAGTGGAATTCGTCTGTGGCGGCGCCGACAGCGACTCCTGTTAAAAAAAACAAGAACTGCTGTCGGTCTTCGTCCCCATTCTCTCTGTGCCCATTCCGACCGTGCCGATTCAAGGGGAACCCGTGCAACCGCGCCGACGAGAAGCTTCCCGGAGAGGCACGACGGAAGACGCCCGCGACGCGCGCTCCTCGATCCTCGAACCAGCCGTGCACGGCGAGGTGAGAGCCGAGAGCAGGGGGCACCGGCCCAAATAGATTTGGTGCAATAGATTTGGTGCAATGGATTTGGTGCAATAGATTTGTGGGGTTGCAATATGCACATTTGGGGCGTGCAATACACTCTGGGCCCCACATCTATTGCACCACCCCCTTGCAGCTGGACCCCCTTTTGGGTCGCCCTGCCCAGAGGAGGCAAACCATGACCCGGAATCGGCGGTCCAGCGCCACGGCATGCGCGATGGCCCTGCCCCCGACAGGCGGAGCCGCACGCTCCCGGGCGGGGTGGGGCCTCCGGGCCCCGATCGGCGACGCGTGGTCGACTGGGGGTCGATGCGTCCCCCCCGGAGCCTCTGCCCCTCTGTCGCCGCTAACTTTATGTCGGGCGTGTCCCCCATGCAGGGGGAGTTTCGAAGAAAAATAAAAGAATACCCCAAGAATGCCCACAAAGAAGGCCAACAAAGACCCCCAAAATCGTCCCCAGACTTATTTTTGTAGCCTTTTTTCGTCAATGTTTGGGGTGTCTTTTTTTTTTTCGTCGAAAATCCCCCTGTGGGGGGACAGGCCCGACTTAATGCTAACTGGCTCTCGGGTCACAGCTCGGCCCTCCGGCGGCCGCTCGGGACGACCCGACGGGGCGCACCTGCAGGAGAGAGCACCCACGGGAACATGCACGGGAGCGCGACCCCGAAGAAGCCCCCCCGCCCGGGAACGCCCGAGGGACCTCGGGACCTGCGTCATGTCGGGCGTGTCCCCCTACAGGGAGATCTTCGACGAAAAATAAGAAACATTCCAAACATTTTAGTAATGGGGCCCAGACTATTCCAAAAATTTAGTAATGGCGCCCCATTCCAAACATTCCGTTAAAGAGGCAAGCGAAATAGTAAAAAAATAGTCCCCAGACTATTTTGGGACACTTGTTGTTTTTGTATTATTTTGAAGTATTTTTTATTTGTCGTCGAAAATCCCTCTGTAGGGGGGACACGCCCGACTTACGACCTGCGCCTTATTGCGCGCACCCGAGGCGGCGGCGGCCGAGGGCGCCCGAGGGCGCCCGCTCCGAGGGCCCAAAAGATGAGTACATGCGCGTTGGTGGTGCCGAGAAGCAGCAACATGTACCTTGAGTCAAGCGCTGTCACGAGCGGAAAACTCAAGAAGGCTCAAGCGCATGACCCACTTTGTTCAGGTTACAGGGCTGAAAGAAGACATTAGTGGTGTATGACGAGAGCCAGTCTTTCTGCACTCTCCGCAGCCGCGCCCGTGCCTGGCCCTGGCCGCTCCCCCCCCCCCGCCCCACCTCCCTTGACCTTCCAGGAGGGCTGAGATTAAGTCGGGCGCATCACCCTACAGGTGGATTTTCGACGATTTTTTGTTTAAAAAAATACATGAAAAATGCGCCTAAAGGTAAAAGAATACTCCAAAAAATAGTCCCCAGACTATTTTTGGACTATTTTCTGATTATTTTGTATATATATTATCTGTCGTCGAAAATCCCCCTGTAAGGGGGACACGCCCGACTTCTTCCAGGAGGGCTGAGACAGGGCACCTGGACCATGACTTCTCAATCCTCCTGCCGAGGTTTTGAGCAGTCCAGGTAGGTCTATAGGTCTGGAGGGCCATTCTCTGGTACTCTGGAAGGTCCGGGTCCCCTCCCGCCCCCTGGTCACACCACGATTCGCGCCGGTGCCATGTGGGATTCCCAGACGGCGACGGCGCGGATCCTGACGTGACCGGCACCCTCCCCCCCCTCCCCCCCGAGCGATTGGCTTTCGCATGACCGCTAAACGTATTCCTCGCGACTTCTGGTGTGGGCGGCGGCGCTGTCTGCAGGCTGCCGCCACAGGGCCAGTTTTATCCGCCCTCTCTGCGCTCACGCGAACGCATGTTGCCCTCCACGGTCACGCCCGAAATCGCCAGGGGGAAAAATTAGCCTGACGAAAGACCCAACCATATGCTGCTGCGAGTACTGCTAGGAAGAGGAGACGAAGGAGGAGGCCAGCAAAAAGGACTGCGGCGTGCGCTGACGCGGGCGAGCGGGGAGTCTTCTTGGTTTCGCCCGAGCCCCGTGCGCGACCCGTGCCATGCGGACACTCCCGCTTGGGCCTTCGGTGGAGCTCCCGAACCGTGTGAAAGGTGTGCCAAAATGGAGCGGCGGTGCCATGCAGACGCTCCCGCCAGGGCCTTCGGTGGAGCTCCCTATGGGGGCCGCGAAAAGTGTGAGGGGTGTGCCAAAATGGGGCGGCGGTGCCATGCGGACGCTCCCGCTGGGGCCTTCGGCGGAGGTCCCTATGGGCCACGAACCGTGAGAGGGGCGTGCAAAAATGGGGCGGCGGTGCCGTGCGGACGCTCCCGCTGGACCTTCGGTGGAGCTCCCTATGGGGCCACGAACCGTGTGAGGGGTGTGCCAAGATGGGGCGGCGGTGCCATACGGACGCTCCCGCCGGGGCCTTCGGTGGAGCTCCCTATGGGGCCACGTGCCAACATGGGGCAGCGGTGCCATGCGGACGGTCCCGCTGAGGCCTTCGGTGGAGCTCCCTATGGGGCCACGAACCGTGTGAAAGGTGTGCCAAAATGGAGCGGCGGTGCCATGCGGACGCTCCCGCCGGGGCCTTCGGTGGAGCTCCCTATGGGGCCACGAAACGTGTGAGGGGTGTGCCAAAATCGGGCGGCGGTGCCATGCGGACGCTCCCGCTGGACCCTTCGGTGGAGCTCCCTATGGGGCCACGAACCGTGTGAGGGGCGTGCCAAAATGGGGCGGCGGTGCCATGCGGACGCTGCCGCTGGGGCCTTCGGTAGAGCTCCCTATGGCCCCACGACCCGTGTGAGGGGTGTGCCAAAATGGGGCGGCGGTGACATGCGGACTGTCCCGCTGGGGCCTTCGGTGGAGCTCCCTATGGGGCCACGACCCGTGTGAGGGGTGTGCCAAAATGGGGCGGCGGTGCCATGCGGACGCTGCCGCTGGGAACTTCGGTGGAGCTCCCTATGGGGCCACGACCCGTGTGAGGGGCGTGCCAAAATGGAGCGGCGGTGCCATGCGGACGCTCGCGCCGGGGCCTTCGGTGGAGCTCCCTCTGGGGCCACGACCCGTGTGAGGGGTGTGCCGAGATGGGGCGGCGGTGGGAGGAGGCAGCAGGAGGTGAGGTGAGGTGACGCGGGGCGCTGCCTCTTCCTCCTCCTCCTCCTCCTCCTCCTCCTAATCCTCCTCCTCCTCCTCCTCCTCTTCCTCCTCTTCCTCCCTCCTCCTCCTCTTCCTCCTCTTCCTCCTCCTCCTCCAACTCCTCCTCCTTCTCCGCCTTGGTGTGTCTCTGTGCGTCCCACCGGGGGCGGGGCGCGGTGACAGCGGGCGCTACACCACAGGCTGGTGGGGAAAACCTGTCTCCTGCCGCCCCCGACGTCGGTTCCTTGCCCTCCCCCGAGCCGCCTCCCTCAGGCGGCGGCCTCAGCAGCACGCGGGTCGCCTCTGGCACCGCCGCGAGGTCGATGCCCTCCACAAACGGCGACTGGAGCAGGCGCATCTCCTGCGGGTGACCAGCAAGAAATCGTGCTGCAAGATAAGATAAGAAATCGTGCTGCAAGAAATCTTGGGCCACATTCTCGAAATTCACCCCAAGAGTGTGCACCATGGGGCCCTCAAACATCGACGAATAATGATAATGATAATGATAATGATAATAATAATAATAATGGTAATAATAATAAAAATAAAAATAATAATAATAATCCTAATAATAATAATAATCATACTAATGATAATAATAATACTAATACTACTAATAATAATGATAATAATAATGTTAATAATAATAATAATAATAAACATAATAAAAAATCGTAATGATGATAATAATAATAATGATAATAATAGTAATACTAATAATAAGACTAATATTAACAACAATAGTAATAATCATCATCATACTAATAATAATAATGATAAGATTCGTCGATGTTTTGGGGGGGCCCTCAGGTGCCCCAGAGCTTCTGTGGCTCCCTGGGGCCATCGAAATTTCCGCTTAGCTGCTGGCAGGCTGGTTCCTCCGTCGGGAAATCGGGAGAAAATCGCGGGCCGGCTGCTGGCAGGCTGGGCTCTTAGGTGGCGTGCCCGCTATACGGAGCCCAGGCAGTGGAGGCCGTACATTCGGGGAGACGTAAGACCCGGGTACTGGGGACTCGGAAATCCCCGACGAGGTCGTCAAAAAAATGACGAGGCCGAGCCTGCATTTTGACGAGGCCTCCCGCTGCAGGCATCCCACGAAACTCCTCCTCGTCAAAATCCGGGGCGCGGTCGTCAAAAAACGATGGCGAACCCGAGTCCTGGCAAACCCGGGTCTTACGCTCCCCCGATATATGGAGCCCAGGCAGTGGAGGCCGTACATGACCATGCCCCCATATTCGCGAGGACACCCTCACGTTACGGACACCCGCGCAGTGCGACGCCCAAGTGAACTCCGATGCGCTTACGACCTTTCTGCGCTCCTGAACACAAGGGGATGCCGCGAAGGGGGGTTCCTTCTAAGAGAAATGATGGTTTGACGGCCCTGGTGAGGGCCCTGGGGCCCGGTGAAGGCCTCGATGCGAGGACGTCGCGCTTTCGGGGCTCCAGACACCCAGACCCCCGACGTCATGATTTTTTCATGACGCGGCCCCCAGAGGTTCAGACCCATTCCCCAGGACCGGCTTTTCATCCTGAGTCGTTTTTTGACGGTCCTGATGGCCGGTAAGGGCCCCCAGAGGCCGAAAATAGCGAAAAACCTCTCGTCGTGATTTTTTCATGACTCGAGGGGGTCTGGGCACAGCTCGGGTCTTCGGCGGCTGCTCTGGGGAATCTCGGCACCCCTGCGCGCTCTCGGCGAGCCCCAGCTGCCGGGAGGCCATCCCGAGGCGAGCACACCCGCAAGAACGCAAGAAAACGCCCGACCCCTCCGAAAACATGATTTTCCACAGCGCGAGGAAGTCTGGGCCCAGCGTCAAACGGACAACACGGGAACCATCATAATGCGCCTTCAAGCGGCGCAGCGTCAAACGGACAACATTGGAATCAGCATTCTGCGCCGTATAGGTCTCCCCTTCTTTGTTGTTCTCTTCCTCGCAAGTCACGTCCACTTGTCCTTCAAGGTCGGGGTTCGTGTCAATATCAGGTTTTTCCACAGCGCGAGGAGGTCTGGGCCCAAGAAGCAAACATCGATCCCCGGGGACCTGCTCTGGGGCTCGCTCTGGGTCGACTTCCCTGGCGGATCCGGACGCGGCGACGAGAAGTCCCTCGGGGAGACCCAGACGGGCGTTTCTTTTTACAGCGTGGCTCCCTGGAGGTGCAGACCTCTGCCCCTGGACGGATCTGCATCCCGAGTATCTCTGCTGACCGTCCGCGAGGGCCCTGTGGAGGCACCTGGAGGCCGAACTGCAAGCCGAAAGCCTCGCGGTGTGGTTTTGCTCTCCGGGCGAGGGTGTCAGGGGAGGCCCCTAAGTGTCCGAAGTCGAGGAAACGGGGCCAGGATCGGAAATATCCTAGGGCTCCTAAGTTCGCGCTTCGCGCTGCGCGAAGCGCGAAGCGCGAATAACTTCGCGCTCTCGCGCCGCCCCCCCAGAGGGAGAAGAGGAAGACGAGGAGGAGGGGGGAGAAGGAAGGAGGACCGCGAAGCGCGAATAACTTCGCGCCCTCCTGGGAGCCCTTAAATATCACATCGTCGGAGGTCTGGAACTCTGCGCGCCATCCATGGGGCCAAGGCGACGAGGGCGCTCTCAGGAGGCTCCCACGCACAAGGGCGAGGAACGTCTGAGTTCGCTCGGTCTTCGAACTTTCGAAGTTCGAAGATACACGAACTTTCGAAGTCCTAACTTTCTAGATTCACACTTCCTAAATTCACAGGATTCCCGCCCCGAGCACATTCGGTCAAGAACAGTTGCTGAGCGTGTCGTTGCGGCGGCCCCGCCGCAAGCGGAAAGCGTGTCGTTGCGCTCCGCGGGACCGAGAGGCTAGGAAAAGCTTGGAATGGTGATGCTTGGGGACTGGGACGTGGTTAGCGTGTCGCGCCGAAGCATGGTGAACCAGAACTGGCGGCGCGACACGCTAAGCAAACGTTCCTGAACTTATGTTTTCCATTACCCGTGGATGAGGGGCAGCGTTAGGGGCGGACCAGCTCAAGGGGAAAAACATCGACGTGGAATCGGCGATACATCGTCGATAGATCGGCGATAGGCCCCCGACAATAAATCATCGCGTTCCTGGGCGTGGTGGGGCTTTCAGTCCCTCATCGGCGATGAACGCGTGTTTGCGAGTCGATGCACCCCCCCAAAAGCATGTCCTCATCTGACATTTCCCCATGGCGTTCGGGTCACGACTCGGCTGTTCGGCGGCCGTTCGGGATGATCCAGGCACACCCAGACTCCTCTCGACGAGGCGCAGCTGGCGGAGAGCATTCCGCGGACGGAGAACCGCCGATAACCTGCGAAAACACCCGGGAACCTGGACCCGCCCAAAAGGACGTCAAACACATAAGAACAGAAAGCACTGTTGGGGGGTTCTTCGGGTCCCAGTGGGGTCCTCTTGCTGCCCTCATGGGTCATCCTTGGGGTCTCTCGGCCCTTGCACAAATGATTGTGCATGGAAGCGATTGGCTCAAGCATTTCTGCTGCTGTACCTGGTCCGCCCCAGGCTTCGGCCTCGTCCTGGCCCGCCCCCGGTGAGCCAGAGCCCACACCGGACTACCTACCAGACCACCCCAACCCAACCAGAAGCCCCGAATTTCAGGTTGGGGGGGGGGTACGGGTTCCATATGTGTTTTCTCGATGCTCCCCGACCCCGCCCAACTGGAAATGGAGGGCAAAACGAGACCTTCGGGTTGGGCTTGGGGTCTCTCGGCCCTTGCATAAATAATTGTGCACTGAAGCGATTGGTTCAAGCATTTCTGCTGCTGTACCTGGTCCGCCCCATGAGGAGGAGGAGGAGGAGGAGGAGGAGGAGGAGGAGGAGGAGGAGGAGGGAGGAGGGGAGGAGGAGGAGGAGGAGGAGGAGGAGGAGGAGGGTGGGAGGGTGGGAGGGAGGGAGGAGGGAGGAGGGAGGAGAAGGAGGGAGGAGAAGGAGGAGGTCCTGGCCCGCCCCCGGGCAAGCAGAGCCCACACCAGAGGGAGGGTCGGGGCTGGTGCGCGCCGCCGGCCCCGCGCCCGCTCTCCGGGCCGCCGCCGCCCGCTCGGGACGAGATCCGGGCACCGCTGGAACGCCCTCGGCGGGGCGAAGCTCACGGAGGCCAGCAGGGCCTATCGGGGTTGGACAGACCCCCCTTTCGTAAACCGTGGCTTAGTGAAAACGACGACGACGAGGGCCAGAAAAGGGCAGGAAGAGGAGAGGATGCGTCCGCAGATGAGCAGGGTGTGGGCACAGGAGACGGTGGATCATTGCAGCATGCCCCTCGCATGAAGGATCACTCGGGGTTGGACAGACCCCCCTTTCGTAAACCGTGGTTGCAAACCAACAGCGCCCGCTGTTGGGCAGGCGGCCTTCTGTCTCGAATTGACACAGGCCGCGGCGGCGTGCACAGCGAGTCCGGTTCAAAATGAACAAGAACTGCTGTTGGGCATTGTACCCATTCTCTCCGTGCCCATCTCGGGCGTCCAGAATCAGGACAGACCCCCCTTTCGTAAACCGTGGTTTCGTGAAAACGACCCGAGGCCCAAACCTGGCGGGCGCAAGCATGGAAGATAACGGCCACGGCGCCCTCTCGAGAGCCGAAAGCGGACAATTCACTAATCGACGTGTCGCTGTTGGGGGTTCTGTCCACCTCCGAGCCCAAGCGACTCCCGAGGACTCCGGAGCACCCGTCGAGCGTCGGAGAACTCCTCCGCCGAGCCTCCCGTTGGCCCCCCTGGGCCTCAAGGCGCCCCTGACAGGGAGGGGGAGGGGAGTAGGAGAAGGAGGGGAAGGAGAAGGAGGAGGACGAGGGCCGGGGCAAACCCAAGACTCATCCACGATGTTGCAATAGACCATCCCTCCAAGCTCCCTCTTCACAGGTCCCTACAAGGACTCGTTTTCACTGAAGAAGAACCAGGTTGGAAGACATCTGCGTGAAACCTGGACTTCAACGCCGCGAATCACCGTTACTGTTGCTTCCTGGCGACCCTGAATCTCACATCGTACAAAACGCAATTTCTGCAAGCCAACCACAAGAATCCTTGAAACTGTAAGCTCTTAAGACGAATGTACGCTGTGGCACGGCGAGAATCACATTTTGAAGAGGCACCACCCTCCATCCGTGAAGCTGCTGCAACTCTTGAAACGAATGTGCACGGCGCGAAGGCGACAATCACATGTTGGAAAGGAACCTCTCTAAATCCGTGCATTTCTTAAACGAATGTGCGCGGCGCTACGGCGAGAACACAACTATGAAAACGACCCGCGCTCCATCCGTGAAACTGTTGCACATTTTCAGCTGAAGGGTCAGTAGTGGTGAGGAAGCCTCAAGCGGAACGCCCGGCCCTCCCTACCGACACGTCTCGGGATGAGGCAGGGAGGAATTACCTGAGAGGAAAAGAGATGGACCAGGATAAGGAAGAGGAGGACGATGATGAGGAGGAGCAGGAGCAGGAGGCGGAGGAGGAGTCCATTCCTCTCCATAACGTTGCCCCTATCCTCCTCGACGCCACCGCCCGATAACCTCGAGAACGTTTCCCTCCGAACGCTTCCCTACGGAAGCTGCCCGTGAGCCAAGTAGGTCGGGAGCTCCAGAGCTTCAGGTGCCCCTGAGAGGGAGGGGGAAGGAGGAGGAGGCGGAGCAGGAGGAGGAGAGGGAGGAGCAGTCAGGGGAGGAGGATGAGGGCGGGCGCACCCCCCCCCCACCCCCACCTGGGCCTACGGTTGGAAGCCTGTTGCGCAGCGCGCCGCGGCGGCGGGCCCCAGCGACACGCCATCCCTTGCAACATGACAGCGTGTCGCGCGCCACTCCGCGGGGCGGGAGGCTCGAGAAAGGCTCGGGTCGTCGACAGCGCGCCGCGCCGAGGCGTGGTGGGCCAGAACCGGCGAGGCGACACGCCAAGCCAATGTTCATGACCAGGCTGGCATTGCCGCGGGGGGGCGCTAAGGGTATAGGGAGGCTATTCGTGGATGCTGGGGTGTGTCCTATCTGGCCACACCTAGATTGCAAGTGGGTTGCACGTGCTCCAACTTGTCTTAGGGGGGTAACTGACCCCCAAGCTGCAACATTGCAACCCACTTTCAAGCCAGGTTAGACCAGATATGATCCACCTTTGCATCCACTTGAAAAAACGATCCCCTTATCAACCCCCTCGCCCATCCTAACACCCCCTCCCGAACCGTCGACTAATATTGAATACAGTCGGACCTAAACCAAAATAACATCCTCCAAGAACATGAAACTGTGAAACCCTCCGCCGGCCAAAACGAAGAGCACTCGAAGGCACCCTCCCCCAGGATGCAGAAGAACATTCAACAACCGCGAATACTAGGGCATTCTCCCCGAAGCGACCCCGATATTATACCTCGGTTCGACTGCAGCGGTAATAAGCAACCAGACAGTAGAGGCACTTGTTCTGCAGATTCTGGCAAGTGTGCTTGCATGGCGAAGGGGGGCGGCGTGGGCAGGCCCGAAACGAGATGTTCACTTGGTGCGCGGCCTGCCGCAGGCTGCGTGCGTCTCGGCAATGGCGGCCTGCGTACACTGAGAAGAAGCTCGCTATCGCTCGGACGTCCATTCTCCATGCATGTGCCGGCTTCGTGCGTGTCTCTTTTCGCAAGATGGCTCAAAATGCTCCACGATGGTCCTCGCAGAGAAGAAAGGACACGTCCGAGCGATGCCAAGGAGAAGAAAGAGGACTCCCCCAAAAACGGTGATAGGATGAGTCAGCATCGCATCTAGAAGCTGGGTCGACTTGGAACGGGCGTCGGATCGGGCCGCACCGGCACGGAGTGGAGATCGGACCGGATCGGCGCGCCAGGATGTACAAACGCACCGTGCAAGCACAGGTCCGCATCGGATCGTCGCAATGTCCGAATCGAATCAGATCGAGGTCGGGATCAGCGTCGAATGGGCTCGATCGGATCGACCTGTTCCCTGCAAGGACCATGGGGGGCGGGCTGCCAAGGCGAAGAGTAGGTTGTCGCTGGCTCCCACGGCGAAGCTGGAGGCGGTTTTTCTTGTCGGGGAACAGTTTTTTTGGTCTGCGGGTCGAGAGCGAACCTCTTCCGGTTAAAAGCTAGGCGGGCTTCGCAAAGCTCTAATTGGGGAGACAGAGCACAGGCGGGCGGGGCCTCACCTTGTCGGGGTAGGCAGCGACAGAAGCATGACCTTTCGGAGGTCCGCGCGGATTTCTCGGATCGGCGCCGGAGCCCCCGTGGCGGCGCCTGCGGCGCCGCCCTTGGCGCGCTCCGCGCGCCGGGGATGGGGTCCAGCGCCGGTCCAAGAAATCCGCGCGTTCCTCCAACTTTCCTACATTGACACTTGTTGATGACTTGTTGACACTTGTTGATGATTGTTGATGACTCCACCGCCACCGCCACATGAAACAGTGCGACAAAACAACGAGGCTTTCGCTGGCGAGCGGTTATGATGCCAGCCCTTTTTTGCCAAATCCCGATAGCTGGTACCGAGGGCACTGAGGGGTTCACCAGAGGCGCCGTCGCCACAATGAAGATCACAAGTGTCAATCAGGGCCTCCAAGAGGTGGGCGTCCAATTGGGGGGGGGGGCAATCATGGCCAGCGGCATATGCGCGGCCCAGGGGGGTGGGGCTGCGGACGCAATGTAATAAGAAGAGGCGCCATGAAATCTGGGGAGATACCATGGCCCCGCCATGATCCCCCCCCTCTGGGCCGCCTCCGATTCAATATTTCGGGTACTTTTTGGGATTCGCGGGTCGAGAGCGCACCTCTTCCGGTCGAAGCTAAGCGGGCCGCGCACAGCTTTAATTAACAAAGAGGGTGGGGGGCAGAGGGGCCTCACGTCAAGGACAGGAGGGGGCAATATTTCGGATACACGCAAGAGTGACCCTGGGTAAGAGTGACCTTTGGTGCGCGGCTTTTGGAGCTCCGCGGGGGGGGCAGACCTGGGCGCGCAGGCCGCTGCCGCAGCCACGCGCTCGGCGATCGGGGAACCCATCTGTGCCCGCACCAGAGGTCACTCCGGCGAAACGTCACGCTTACCCTGACCCCCGACGTCGTGATTTTTTCACGACGTCGACCCCCAGAGGTCTGGACCCCTTCCCCGGGACCGGTCTGTCGTCCCGAGTCGTTTCCTGACGGTCCGGAGTCCCGGCGAAGGCCCCTATAGAGGCCGAAAACTTAGAGAAACCTCCCGCCGTGATTTTTTTCCACAGCGCGAGGAGGTCTCGGCACGTCTAGGCGAATAGACTTCGCCTCCATGGCTCGGGTCGGGCGAAAGGGGGGGATAGCAAAGGGGGGGTTTGAGAATCAGCTCACGTAGCTGATTTTCTCGGCGCCTCCCGGCGCCGGAGGCGCCCATGTATCGAAGAATGGGCCCCTCTGTGGGGCCGAAACTAGCTGCATGCAGCAAATTTCGTAACCCCCCTTTCCCAATCCCCCCTTTCGTCCGGCCCGAATGGCGTTCTGGGGCAGGGGGCGGGGGCCGGTGCTGCGGCCGCTGCGTCCTGCGCGGCGCGCTCCAGCGACGCGGCGTCCGCGGGGCAGCCCTCCAGCGCGCCCGGCGGGGCGGCGGCCTCTCTGCGCTGTGGAGGAGGGGGGGGGGAGGAGGAGGAGGAGGAGGAGGAGGAGGAGGAGGAGGAGGAGGAGGAGGAGGAGGAGGAGGAGGAGGAGGAGGAGGAGGAGGAGGGCGAGGGGAGGAGGGGAGTAGGAGGGGGAGGAGGAGGAGCAGGGGGAGGAGGAGGGGAGGAGGAGGGGAGGAGGAGGGGAGGAGGAGGAGGAGGAGGAGGAGGAGGAGGAGGAGGAGGAGGAGGAGGAGGAGGAGGAGGAGGAGGAGGAGGAGGAGGAGGAGGAGGAGGAGGAGGAGGAGGAGGAGGAGGAGGAGGAGGGGGGGGAGCGGGGGGGGGGGGGGGGCGGGCGCCCGAGGGGCGAAGTTACTTCTCGGACGCCCATTCCCTGTGTATTCTTCGGCTTCGTGCGTGCTCTTTGGCTGCACGAGGGTCCACCAGGACCAGGGGTAGGGGATCCGCTGCAGGGTGTCTTTGTTTGCGCGTGCTTTCCCCCCCCCCCACCCCCCCGGTGGATCGAGTAGGGGATCAACTGCAGAGTCTTACCATCGCTCGGACGCCCATTCCCCGTGCATGTTTCCGTTTCGCGCGTGTTTTTGTTTGCACGATGCTCCAGGAGGTTCCTCGATGGTCCTCGCCCCCCCCCCCCCAAAAAAAAAACGCGCACACGTCCGAGCGATGGTCAGAGGTCAGAGGCAGCTGCTTCGGTCCGCTGCCAGACGGCCATCGCGCAGGGCACACCCCTGAACCCTGGGGTACGGTCGCGAGTAGCTGCTTCGCTTCATGTTGGGCGCCCGAGTTATCCGGGGTAACTCGGGTCCGGGGTAACTCGGGTTTGGATTCCCGGAAAAGGAACCCGAGTTGGCCCTGACCCGAGTTACCCCTGATGATTCGGGGCTCTGGGCGCCCGAGTTATCCGGGGTAACTCGGGTCCGGGGTAACTCGGGTTTGGATTCCCGGAAAACGAACCCGAGTTAGCCCTGACCCGAGTTATCCCTGATGATTCGGGGCTCTGATCATCAAGGGCTCCTAAGTTCGCGCTTCGCGCTGCGCGAAGCGCGAAGCGCGAATAACTTCGCGCTCTCGCGCCGCCCCCCCAAGGGGAGAAAAGGAGGACGAGGAGGAAGGGGAGAAGGAACGAGGACCGCGAAGCGCGAAGCGCGAATAACTTCGCGCCCTCGTGGGAGCCCTTGGATCATGCGCGGCGGCGGCCCCAGCGACGCGCCGTGCCCCGCGAGCGGACGGCGCGCCACTCCGCCCCACGGGGCGGACGGGAGGGGGAGGGGGAGGAGGAGGGGGAGGAGGAGGAGGAGGAGGAGGAGGGAGGGCGAGGGGGAGGAGGGGGGGGGAGGAGGGGAGGAGGAGGAGGAGGAGGAGGAGGAGGAGGAGGAGGAGGAGGAGGAGGAGGAGGAGGGGAGGAGGAGGAGGCTGCTGCTGGAAAGGTGGCCGGCGTGCCGCGACGAAGCGTGGCGGGCCGGAGCTGGCGGCCCGACGCGCGACGCAAGCGTCCTGCCCGCGTCCAGGCCCAGAGCCCCGACGTCACGAAGGGAGCGAAGAACGACATAGACATAACGACTCGGAGGTCCGCGCGGGGGGGGGGGGACCTGAGACAACTCGTGACGTCGCGGGTCCGGGGGGGTCGACGGGGGACGAGGGGAGGCTCTTCCCTTTGGGGGGGGCCTAGGAGAACAAAAAGTGACATAAACATAACAACTCGGAGGTCCGCGCGGACTTTCTCGGATCGGCGCTGGGACCCCCCGGCGGCGCCTCCGGCGCCGCCCCTGGCGCGCTCCGCGCGCCAGGGAGGGGGGGTCCAGCGCCGATCCGAGAAATCCGCGCGGACCTCCGAGTTGTTCTGTTTGTGTCACTTTTTGATCCCCTAGTCATGGGTTTGTTGCATGGCCTGGGCCCCCAGAGGTCTGACCCCCTCTCCCCTGGGGCTGGCTCTTCATCCCGAGTCGTTCCTGGACGGTCCCAGGGGCCCAACGAGGGCCTCCAGACGCCAAACAGTGTGAAGACCTCGCGTGCGATTCTCTGTCACGTCTCGAGGTGAGGATACATTCTCGAAGGACCTTGTCTGTCCTGTCGCGCCGCGCCCCTATCCGCGTCGCATCCCTGCCGAATCCGCGTCGGACTCGTCGAATGCGCGTCGAATCCACGCCAAATCCGCGCCGAACCCGCATCGAGCCCGCGTCGTGCACCAGACAAGACACCAATTCTGGGAGACGGACGAGGTCCCCCGAAGAGACGCAGCGGAACCGAGGGTGTCCGGGAAAGGACGCAAGGCGGCTTCTTTAAAGAAGGTGCTCCTGCCAGAATGGCAGGCCTGGTCGTTAAAGGCTTGACGGCTTCTGACGTCCCTCGACTCGCGCGGGAGCGGCCGCGATTTGCTCCAACCGTCCCTTGAGATCTCTGTATTCACCCAGATGTAGCTGCATTTGCCTCGATGTATCTGCATCTGCCCTCTATTAGCTGGCTCGATCTCCACGAGTCGATTGCCGAGAAGTCGTCAAGCCATCAGGATTAGGGACCCCAACGGGGAGCTCGACTCTCGAGGAGGGCGCTCCCCGCGGTGAACGCGGGGGGGCGCGCTCGGGGGGGGCCTCGGGCTGCGGGACGGGAGGGCGCATCGCAGCATCGCTGGCCCACTGTGGGTTTACCCTGTTCCTCCTCCTCCTCCTCCTCCTCCTCCTCCTCCTCCTCCTCCTCCTCCTCCTCCTCCTCCCCCTCCCCCTCCCCCTCCCCCTTCCCCTCCCCCTTTCCCTCCCCCTTGCCCCTCCCCCTCCCCCTTCCCCTCCCCCTCCCTTACCCTCCCCTCCTCCTCCTCCTCCTCCTCCTCCTCCTCTCCTGCTCCTCCTCCTCTTCCTCCTCCTCTTCCTCTTCCTCCTCCTCCTCCTCCTCCTCCTCCTCCTCCTCCTCTGGCCAACTCGTGCATCGCGGCACGGTGGTCGAAGAAACGCCCTGCTTGAATCCCTCTCATGTCTTTTTTTCAGCAGGGACCGACCGTCGCGGCATTCCTATAGTCATACCACGAAATGTTCTCAGAACCCCCAACTGTTCTAATAACAAAAACAATGTTCTTATACCATAAACCCGATGTGTTAAAACAAGACAGTCCCAGCCAGAAATGTTGTAAGCACATTTCGTGGGAACCACACAAAAGGTTCTTAGAATATTGGTTTGCGGGGCTATAGGCGAACCAGGACGCTTCGCCACTGCTTGACTTTTGCCTTCTCGCAAGTCCTGCCAACCTGCGCTCCCAGGTCGGGGCTCGTGGCTGTCTCAAATCTGTTGCGCTTCACGACGCGAGCACTTTGGGGGTCCATGGGCGCGGGGCAACTCCCCTTTCAGGCGGGGGCTCGCGCTAGGCTGACAGGCTAACACGGGCAGGGGGCCACATGCGAACCCCACCCTCCCCCTCAGACATCGCGGGGGGCGGGGGCAGGGCTCGCATGTGGCCCCCTAACGGGGACCCTCGTCTCTCTCTCTCTCTCTCTCTCTCTCTCTCTCTTCATCTCCAGGGACACACCTCAGTTACCAGCCTGGAACATACCCCTATCCCCATGCTGGGCACCTCCTCATCACGATGCCAATCTTGGGGAGTCCCTTATTTTTGAAGGCGAATCCCTAAGACTGTCATCGCCTTTTGGCGTGTCAATCTTAGGGATAGGGATACGTTCGAGGCTGGTAGCTAAGGGCGCCTCCCCGCGGGGCCAGGGGAGCGCGTCCGTGGGGGCCCGAGACCCGGGACGGGAGAGGGCGCTGCAGCACCGCTGGCGCATTCTCTCGGGAACGCGGCCCGGGGTCCGCAGACACCCTTATGTCGCATCCTTGGGGGACCCCGTCTGTCCCGTCGCGGCCCTATCCGCGTCGAATCCGCGTCGAATCCATGTCGTACTCGTCGGATCCGTGTCGCATCCGTGTCGAATCCGCGTCGAATCCACGCCAAATCCGCGTCGAGTCCGCATCAAGCCCGCGTCGGGCCCCCCAAACAGACACCAATTTGGGGGACAGGCGAGGTCCTCCGAAGATGCAGCAGACACACCCGGGGCGGCCAGGGCCCTGTCGCGAAGCCCGGCCGGTCGACCGGCAGCTCCCCCCAAAGAGCCAGGGATCGGCCCCACGTGGCTCCCAAGCCCGAGTCAGCCAGAGGGGGTCGGCCGACCACCGTTGGCCCCGACACCTGTTTTTGGGGAGCCCTGGACATCACACGTCTGCGACTCGGGCCCCAGCGTATCCTCTTCGGCTTCTGTCTCCTGTCTTCTGCCTTGTGGCGCTCGTTACTTCGCGCTCTCGCTTTCTCGCTCTCCCTCTCTCTCTCTCTCTTTCTCGCGCTCTCTCTCTCTCTCTCTCTCTCCCGCATCTCCTCTGCCGTCTTCTATCGTGGTCCTCCTCGTAACTGTTCAGGCTCTGGAAGCGAGGGCCTCGTTGGAAAGCCGATTGGGCGCAGCTTCGCGGACAGGGATTTCTGCTCCTCGGCCCCAGTGCAATGACAACCTATCATTGCTTGACTGTTCCACGTGTCAAGCCTACGCCTGCCTCGGTCAAACAATCAAGCTTAGCCGCCCATGTGATCCCAGCAAAACAGGTCGAGCAGACTGGGGACGCTGGAAGCTTATGGAACGAGGCCATCACCCCAATATCAAAGGGGCATGTGTTGATGACATTCCACCAAAGCTGGAGATCGAATTATTGCCAGCCAGACATGTCCAGCGTGCACCCTCAGGGTGCTAGGAACTTTGTAATATAGCTTACTGTTGCCTTCTCTGGGTAATTAAGGCACTGCTAACTGATGCTCGAACTAAAAAGGACAGGCCTGGCCACTTGGAACAACTGAGGGGACGTAGGGCGGTTCCAACTCAAGATGGGGCTCCCGCGTGAGCACTGAGCACTCCTCAACATGCATGGCCAAACGTGCAAATTCGTACAACATGAAACAGAAGCGTGCTTTAATCCAAAGCGCAAAGCGGAAACCTCGCTGGAAACCGCGATAGACTGTATGATCATAC